TTGTAAATGGTCAGGGTTCGAATCTTTAGTGTGTGTGTACATTTATTTTGTATCACTTAGGTGGCAAGGATTTACGTTATATTCTTTTTGACCTTTTAAATACTTGGTATTAATTAATTGTGAGATTTACACACATATATATATAATTTTCTTTTATATTAATAATGAGATGTATTTATAATGTATTTTTTATTCGAATTATTTTATCGAATTAATTATGTTTCATATTTTGTTATGAATATTTTTAATAAAGTTTTGATGTGTTTTATTTTTCGTCCACACCCAACAATATTTATTCTATACTTTTAAGTTTTTTTTTTTTTATCAAACTATCTCTTTTGTTTTAATGCGTTTCGCCCCCACTGAACAAGTTTTCTGGGTCCACCACTGAATTCATATGTACATTAGTTAACTGATGTAGGTTCATAAAATTACTCTTGCAAATTCATAAAATGACTACTATATATTTATTAATTAAGTACTACAAGTTCATAGTCACTATTACATGTTCATAAAATCACTACATCAAATTCATCAATGCATATGCAATTACAACATTATTTTTATGTACTTACAATATTGCTTTTATGTGTTTAATTTTTTTTAATGCATCTACAATATTATTTTTTATGTATCTTGCAGGTATATAAATCTGGTCCATGATATAATTTGTCATGTTTATCTTTTATGTATAGTTTGTGACATACTATTACACAAAAAAAAAAAAAAAAAAAAAAGTTATAATAGAAACGAGTTTCGCTTATCAAAAAAAAAAAAAAAAAAAAAGAAGTTAAACTTGTAAAACCACACAATAATCTATTACTCCTCTTTTAGAAAGAAATTTAATTTTGTGGCGGCCGTAAATTAAAATATGGTTGACAACAACCTTAAGTCTTCCCGATCAATTTCCAACAAGTGATATGTCATTTGGCGACATGTTCTTTGCGTTGTACGTGTAATGAATCTTGAAAACCAAATATATATTATATTCCCAAATCCCAATTATATATATTTATTAGTTGTGTGTGAACTCTTGGAAAACTAAGCCGATATATCACGTTTCCTTGGTAGGGTTGTTAGTTGTTACTCACCAATTTCATGTAATTAGCCACTTTTCAATTACTTTATTTTTTTCTGTTTAAGTAGATTAAGGTATGTTTTGGAAATTCGGGGAAATTGATTTTTGAAAAATATTTTTTGGATTTTTAATATTTAGATGCAATAGGAAAATTCAGTAAATGGAAAACATTTTTCGTTATGTTGACGGGGAAAAATGAAGGCATTTTGGTGGAAGTAATTTTCCCCAAACAACCAAAACATGTGTTTTTAAAGGAGTTAATACCCAAAATTGTCCTCGACTATAGTGGTTTTTCTCAATTTCATCCTAAACGACTTTGGTGACCTAATATAGTCCCAAACTTTTGTGTTTCGCTCAATTTAGTCCTCCGTTTGTTATTCCGTCAAATTGGTGTTAAATAAAGGGACAATTCAATAATATCAATATTGACATCTCTTTACTTTCAACATGCGAAGTGAGAAATCTCTCTTTCTTACACGAATTACACCCAGAGTTACTCTCAGACCTACGAATCAAATTTTATATTCGCAGCTTTAGAAGTGATTCTGGGAGTAATTTGTAAAAAAAGAGGGATTTCGCACTTCACATGTCTATGAATAAAGAGATGCCAATATTAAAATTACTGAATTGTCTATTTATTTAACAACAAATGGACGGAATAATAAATGGGGGACTAAATTGAGCAACACAAAAGTCTGGGACGAAATTGAGTAAGAACACAAAACTCTGGGACTGCATTAAGTCACCAAAGTCGTTTAGGACAAAATTGAGAAAAACCACTATAGTCGAAGACGATTTTGGGTATTAACTCGTTTTTAAAGGTTTCGGCGTCAGAAACCAGTGACTTTTTTTTTTAATGGTTTTCGGCGGAAATTAGTGATGTTTTTTTTAAAATAATTTTTAATAAATAAAAGTATATTTAATATTATTATAAATGTTTTATATTCTAAATAAAATAATTAAAATGTTTAATTATACAATTTTACTTATTTTTAGAAAATGAACCAAACGCACCCAGACAGTTTTCCAAAATGCAATCAAACACGGGAAAGGAAAATATTTTCTGAAAAATAACTCATTTTTCAGAAAACAATTTCTATAAGTCATTTTCCTACTTTTCAAACGGACCATAATACTTTTGCATATTTTCTATTTGTTTTACTTTTATTTTTTGGCCGAGATCTTAACAAAAAAAAAAAAAAAGGTGCATATGTTGCAATTTGTCACTTTTTGAACAAAGTGGTAATATGTCTCATGGATCTAGTCTTACACAAGACTAACGGTTTCTTACGTTAAACTTGTGTGAGACTGTCTCACTGATCCTTGTTCGTGAGATGGGTCGGGTCAATATGCAAATGTAATACTAAATATGAATAAAATGCTTGTTACTTATAAAGAAAAATACGATATGTGAGACGTGTCGGGTTTGATGTTGAGGGAGAGCTTAGCAGGATTGGTGAAGGTATTCAGAGAGCCAAAGAGAAGATGTCTACCATCCAAACTCAATATGCAAATGTAATGCTAATTAGGAATAAATTGTTTGTTACTTATAAGGAAACACATAATATTTTTTATCATAAATGTAATACTTTTACACTTTAATGTAAAAGTATTACTTTTTTTTTTTTAATATCAAAAATATTATATTTTTCCACATAAATAATTATAATAATCATTACTTTCCTTCTAAAAAAAATAATCGTTACTTATAAGGAAAAATATAATACATGGTACTTTTGATGGAAAAAGTAATATTTGTACATCAAAATAGTATGTTTTTCTTATAAAGGCATTTTCGACTCTATTACATTGTAGTATCGGTTCAAACATACATTCTCAACCTAATGAAGGCATAAAGAGGCCTCTACTGAGGCTTGATCTCATGACCTCCCACATGGGAAAGGTCACTACATGCCATTTGAGCACAAGGTGGTTGACCATACATATTATTATTATTTATTCACTTTTCTATAATTAATAATTTTAATTAATAATTTTCATATTAAAATAAATTAAATTTAAATAACGAAATAAAATATATTCTAATTTATTTAATTTAATTCAAGCAATTAAATTCGAAACTAAATAAAATTATGTGTATGAAATTTAAATTAAAATACAAATTTAATACAAATAAAAATATAATCCCATAAATTAAATAAAAATACAATACAATAATGTTTAAAAAAAAAAACTAAACATTTTAGCCGTTGAGGCTGCCTATTTCAGATTGAAATTATATATATATATATATATATATATATATATATGTGTGTGTGTGTGTGTGTGTGTGTGTGTGTGTGTGTGTGTGTGTGTGTGTGTGTGTGTGTGTGTGTGTGTGTGTGTGTGTGTGTGTGTGTGTGTGTGTGTGTGTGTGTGTGTGTGTGTGTGTGTGTGTGTGTGTGTGTGTGTGTGTGTGTGTGTGTGTGTGTGTGTGTGGCCCTCACGCGCCACGACGTCCGAGGCTTTCTTCCCTTTTTCTCCAAAGACAACTTTATCTTCAAAGAATAATCTCTTTTCCCTTTCAATCAATTTTTTTTTTAATCTCTCCTATGGTTGGAGTTTTAGAGATGCCCTAAGTAATAAACACTTAATTTCTAATTAGTATTATATTTGTTAATATAAGTATTATATTTTTCATTTTCATCCGACTCATTTCACAGATAACCGTAATTAAGACGATTCTAGACATGTTTTTGCTTTCATGATATAATTGCAAATGTAGGGTCGTTTGCCTCCCACCAACCTTCCTGTTTAGATCCAATCAATTGACGTTTATAATTAAGGCTGATAATGAATTAAAAATGAGACAATGATTACTACATGTTAAAAAAATATAATCGAAAATTATGCTTATTCAACTTATTTATTATCATTACAATACTAACTAATCAATCAATAAATATTATTTGTTTACTGAATGTATCATATTTGATAGTATACAAAATAATGTACTTTTAGTACTTTAATAATATTTTTTCAAATAATGTACTTTACGCATACAAATAATGTACTTTTAGTATATTAAAATATATTTTTTTTTATTTATGGTCCACACAGCTGTATGAATTATGGTCTATGGAATAATGATTGTTGAAAGGCCTACCCATATTGACCTTATTTGGTAACATAGTTAACTTATCAGTCAATTGTAAGTTGTTTGACCACTATTAGTTGTTTGACTTGGTTAAAAAGTCAACATGGTTGTTTGTTTAATCAGTTTTAGTTTTTTTTTTTTTTTTTTTAACAACTACTTATTACTCAAAATAGCTTTTTGATAAAATAAATTATATCCTTAAAATGTCATTTTGTATTGTAATAAGCTATTACCAAACATATTTCTACAACCAGCTAATGCTATCAGCTAGTCAAACCAGCTAATCTAATCCGCTAACAACTATTTACCAAACACTCCCGATATTTACAATTCCTCAATATTTTATTTGCAATTCCTCAACTTTTGGAAGAAGAAGTATACTCATTCATTTATTTAGTTCAAAAGTCAAAATTGATTAAAAAATAAAAGATAATAAACAAGGTCTACATGGCATATCCATGTTAAGTGGGGAAGTCTTAAAAAAAATGAGGAAGAAGAATTATTCAAACAATAAATAAATATAGAATAATGTTAATTTCTCCACTTTGTTTACAGTGTCCCATCTCTCATTGATAGTACTAAGCTATAAAACCCCACCAAACGAAAAAAGTTTGATTTGTCAAAGTATTTTTTTTGGATGATAAAAAAAATTAGTAGATACTATTCGAGATCGAGTATGCACTAAGTAAACGTTGTATATCAGACATGAAAGGTGAATCGCACCAAAAAATAATTGTGTAAAAAATAATTTAAAATAGTGTATCACGATCCATAAATAAATATAACAAAAGACATGAAGAATTGAAGACTACTGTGAAGTGTGAACCAATCAAAATGGACAATACTGTATAAGGAAATACTTGACGTCAACCTCAACAAATACATACATGCATATCAATATACCACACACCATTCACGAAAATGACTACATTTATTGAACGGATTTATCGTACTATACGGAATTAATATAATTCAATGTTTTTCGACGAATTTCGCGATCTCTGCAAGAAGCCGTTCGGTTTCGGAACCGGTGACCGGATCCATGTCGACGGCGATCTTGTTCAGATAAAAGCTGTGACCCACGCCGGAGTTAACCAGCAGCTCAATGTCCTTGTTGGCCTCCTTCATGGCTTCATAGAACTCCATCTCCGTGTCCTTTAGAAGGTCGTACTCCGCCACGCAGTACAAGTACGGCGGCAGTTTTAGGCCGGAGATCGGCGGCGCCGCGCTCCCCATCGGGCACGTGATGGGGTGGTCTTTCGTGGAACCTTCTGGAAGAGCAAAGGCTATGAATTTGTCCAGCATAGCCAGCGTCAGGAACGGCGTTTCCGGCTGCTCGAGTTCGGATTTGCTCCGAGAAGAGCGGCAGAATCCCGGGTGGATCGGGATTGCGCCGGCGAGCCTCAGCGGGGCAAGATCGTCATTTCCGGCGCGGGCCGCCACGTGGTGAACTATGTTAGCGCCGGAGCTGTCCCCGACGAGGAATACTTTGTCGAAGTTGCCGCGATCGCTGAGCCACGGCTCACGCGCCGCCTCGCCGCGGGACAGGGCTCGGAGCCAGAGAAAGGCGGCGTAGCCGGTTTCAGTGGCGGCGGGGAGGCGGTTATCCGGGGCGAGTGGGAGATAACAGGACACGACTATGGCGTTCGCCACACGCGCTAGGCGGGTGTAAACGGCGTAGTACATGTACCAATCAGCTTGGCTAATGCAAAACCCGCCGCCGTGAAAGTGCAGTATGATGGGCAACTTGTCGCCGGCGGCGGCGCAGTCTTTCTCGGGGAGGTAAATGCGGACACGGCGGCCGGAGTTGTCATCGATGGTGACGTCCTTGGTGGCGACGCCGTCGACGAAATTGAGGTGGGGAGGGGCAGGCTCAGCCATGAACTTGACCTCCGGCGGGCCGGTCCAAGTCCGGTCGGCGGAGCCATCATCGTAAACCCTCAGCCAACCGGAAACCTCCTCGACAACCTGCTTTTGCTTTTTAGGTGTCGGGAAGGAATCAAAAGTTTGAACAGTGTTCATGGCTGGCTGCTACTTACTACTTAGTTTAGTGGGAAGATTTGATAGAGTGTGATGATATATGAGGGTGGGCAAGGTTCACAACAATTTATAATGGTTGGGTATAAGTATTTTGGGTGGGTTGTTAGAGCGGTTAGTGAACTCTAAAATGGGGTATAATTATCAAATTGCTTACTCAATTAAAATGTAGTGCATGATATTTGTAACATGCATATATTAAAAAATTATACATTTTGTTGAGTTGTAATTTATGTTTAATGTTTAAACTATAATTTAAGGGCGTCTTTATCTATAATTTTTGGTGTGATTTTTGAGGATAGCAAATTTATATGGAGAAGAGAGAGACGGAGAGAGATAAAAAAACTCTCATGTAGGGAGTAGATTTTTATTCAGAAAAATGAGTCTCACTATATGTAAATATGACTTGTATTTGGTCGCGTGCAGAACAATCATAGCGCCCAGCCGAACGCGTTAATATGATTTTTTTTTTCAAATTTGTGTTTTTCATTTTTTTCTTTTATATTTCCTCACATCCTTCTCTTTTATAATCACACCTGCAAAAAAGACTCCTAAAAAACTACAAATATTAAGGATGCTCCTTAGAGCATCTCCAAGAAAGATATGAATTTTTAAGTAAATGGGTTTTTACGAGACTAGCATTAGAGGAAAAAATAAAAAAAGAAAGATTGTTGTTGCAAGTTGCAAGAATGGGCAATTCCAACCCCCCCCCCCCCCCTCCCCTCCCCTCCCTCTTATAGTTGGCAAAAAACCTGTCAAACTTTAGCAAGATGCTCTAATAGAGGCATATTAAATTTCCATATATACATGGCCACTTATATGTTTTGTATAAATATGTATGTTCAACTCTCATATTTATATTTGGACTGAATTTGTTACAATTTTTTTTTGTTACCTCACAGAGTTGAAAATTTTGATATTTTTATTTTATATATTTACCGGTAGTCAATCAAAATTACAGAATTAAATATTTTTTTTTTGAATAAAAAGTTAGCGATGGTAACAAAATAATGGAGTAGATGAAAACATTGAAAACAAAAGATAGAATTAACTCATTGCGAATTGAAAAATTTCGTTGTTTCCGTCTAACATTAAAAGAAATATTTTAGGTTAAAATACCTATCATTTTTCCTTTCCACCTACCAATTAATTCGGATTTACTCACAAATACTACATATTGGACGAAATTTCCTTCCAATAGTGAACGTTGGACTAGAATTATGTCCAACATTCTTAAATTGGATGGAACTTCCGACAACCTTTTCATCCACTAATCTTTAACGGTGAAAAGTTGAAACTTTTATTAAAATATCGACCAACATTATAATTGGACAGAATCACAAAAATGTTGGAGGAAAACAACAAGATTTTTAACCGTGACTAAAAATTAATAAAATATAACATAACAAAGGGAATGAATTGAGAAAATGCGTACCTCCAAAGTAAAGTGGAATATCAAAAGATGTTGTCATGTGTGCTTGGAATGGTTGACTGCTGGTCAATAAATTAAAGACACAGAAAAAGCAGGGAAGGTAAGTAGAAGTTTCAAGACAAATTTGTTTGTAATCTGTAACTACGGTATTACAATTTACAAAGACATATTTATTTATTTAAAAAATATATATATAATTGGTAGGGATTGAAGTGATGAGAAAAGGCACGGAAAGTAAAGGGAAACTCCAATGGAAAAAAGCTATAGCATTACAAAGCTATTCTTTTTCTTAGTCTTCATTTTGTTTTGTTTGTTTCTTTGGCTTCGTTTTCCACGATTAATAAAAATAAAAATAATAGTAATAGAAATAGACGGGAAAATATAATTATGAAGTCAAAGATGTGTATTAGGTGGGTAAGTTACGCTCACGTCTAAAAAGTGTTGATAAAAATTAAATTCATAACAGTTTAAGGACATTAATCTAGTGGATAAATTTTTTTATTTAAGATCAGACTTGGGGTTAATTTGGGTTGGACTCCTAGATTGTGCATATAAATGTACAACTTGATTTTGAGTCTCAAAGCTAGTACAATAAATTATGCTTTACTTACTCAATCATCGCCGAAGCTATGGCATGTAAATAAGCTCTTTCTTATCTTAAGAACTAGGGATACAGGGAAGTTGTGGTGGAGACGGATTCAAGGATGGAGCCAAAGTGGGGCAGCTGCCCCCCTCACCCCACCCCATATATAATCTTTGTATGTATATATGTATATATAGCACATGTTTTAGTATTAGTATAAAAAAGCTATTAAATGTCAATAAGAAAGGAGTTAGATTGGTTGGTAGAGTATATGTTTAGTAATAGTAAAGGTCAAGGGTTCAAATCAATAATGTGTTTTTTATTCAAATTAATTATGTTTCATATTTTTATAAAGTTTTTATTTTTCGCTCATATCCAACAATATTTACAACTATATTTCTTAGATAATTTATTTATTTATTTTTTAAATTATTTCATTATTTTAATGTTTCGCTTTTACTGAAAAAAATTTCTGAATTCGTCTCTACTTCTTCGCCCTCCCTCAACCAAATTTCTGGCTCCGTCCCTGGACGGATTGCTTCAACGTGGTTCAGGATATCAATTCAAGGCACACTGATTATTCTTACGTTGGCAGCATTATTAGCGATTATATGCCCTTAGATTTTTCTTTTAGGAAGTTTCAGACAATTAGCGAACTCTTAACACGGTTGAGCCAATACATCGAGCTCTCAAACTAATTCAGTAGAATGGTTAGACTTACCTCCTTTGTGTATTCCACAGTAGGTTCCGTTTATTAATACAGTTTGATAGGGTTTTTGCTTTCAAAAACAAACAAAAAAATGCAAGCTTTGAATGGACATTTTAGGCAGTGGAAAAAACATTGTAAAAGCCAAAGCTATTTCCTTGCCTCGTTTTTTTTTGTTTTTTTTGTTTTTTGTTTTTTTGTTTTTTTGTTTTGGTTTGAAAAAAAAAAAAACACTGAAACGTGAAAAACGAAAAGCAACGCCCCCCCACCCCCCACCCCCGGCACGGGCCGCACCCCCGCTTTCTTGGCTCCATTGGCCACCAAAAGAAAAATAAAAATCTGTACCCTTTTTTCCCAGAATTATAAGGCATTTAAATATGATTTTTGTAATGCGTTATTAGCTGATATTGAGTAATGAATATTTTCTGGTTTGTCTTCAGTACATATGTTATGAACACCAGCATGTGGATAGACGGATAGTTTGTTAGCAATCATTATTCAATGGATCATGGTATATACACGTGTATGGATCATGAATAAAATGTACATTTTTAATATTATGTAATTACATGTATATTATTTGTGTATTGAATATGCATTATTTAAAAATATATTATTTGAGTACTGAATGTACATCATTTTATATACTATCAAATCATTTACTATTTGACATCTATTGTACTTTTTTTTTTTTTTTTTTTTTTTTTTTTTTCATGTTTTGTTAATTTAGTGGAGATCAGTGGTTTATATATATTTTACTTTACAACCAATATGTTGTTAAGTTAGAGTGTGACTTGGGAAGAAGTTTAGAAATACTCCGTAGAAAGTAAATTATTAATATTGACAAAAGAAAAAAAAAAGTAGATACACCTACACACAATAATTAAATCCACTATTACTCGACCAAAAATGAAATTCTAAAAAGAGTTTTACTATATGTATTACCTATTTTTACTTCATCACTTTTACTCCATGATGTGTCAATTTATGATTAGTTATTTTCATATTGTGGGTCCTAATAAAAATGTTAACATCAAAATTTTGTAAAAGGAAATAAAAGTTGAAAATAAAATTTGAGAGAGTTAATTATAGATTGTTTAGTACTTTAGTTATTAGACTTCTATTTAATAGGAGAGGAAATGGTGCATGTGAATATGAGATGACCAAAATGATTCCTATAACAAAATTATCAATTTGATCCTAAGTAAACGAATGTCTGACGGTTAAACAAACGGAGGACCAAATTAGTTAAAATTTTTAAAGTTAAGAATTTAATTAAGCAAAAAAATAATCAATAACCAAATTAATAATTTCACTATAATGTAGGGACCGTTTCACAGTAATTAACTCGAGAATAGTATTTTCCTTTGGAAAATGTTAGGCTACCGTAGTCTCTAGACTTGCAAGTTGGGATATGCGTGGACATCTACTGTGGAAAATTTCATGGTTATCCTTTTGTATTGGTCCACATTTTTTCGTTTTTATATACTTCAAATCTTCAATAATTGCTTCATGTATAAAACGTTGATTTTTATGAGATTTATGGAGTAAAATAATTCAAATCTAACAAAATAATTTGACAAGACTCATGGGTGTTGCTCTTCTTTTACTAATGGAAATCTACAGTTATTATTAGGTAAATTTAGCATTATGACCTTAACTAATAAAAGGCCACAGAAGTGAACTAACCTAAGTTAGTCATAGCTGACTAAGTTCGAAATGATGGTAATATTGCAATATGATAAGTTTTCTATATTAGCAGACATCTCTCCAACATCATGAACCAGCAACATAGGACTACAGTATTCATTGGAGCCAAACTGGCACACAAGTGTTAGAATGTAGGAACAAAATGTGAAACAAAAACCTGCCATTTTCTTCCCTCCTATGAAACTAGGTATATATACCACTATACCATTCTGTAACTGGTGCAGCCATTTCCAATGTATGCCAAACAAAAAGTGTTTCCTGAGAAGAGGGGAAAGAGCAGAAGTCTGGGAGGATAGAAGATACATAAAAAACATAACAAAGATTATAGAAAACAAAAAGTAAAACGGCCTTACGTGAAATTTGAACTAGGAAACTGACATTCGATCCTCTCATATCACATTGTTCACGATGGGATCTTGACTTTGTTCTTAAGCTCAGCAATCTCCTTTGCGTGTTTCTTAGAACCAGGAAAGTGAATCACACAAGAACGTTATTTTTATCACTGATGAAGAAGGGAGAGGCTTTGCAGGGTAAACAAGGTAAGAAAGGACAAATCCTAGAACTTCGATAATTACCTCGTATAATGTTTTCCACCATCTGTCTGATTGTTGTTGTAGTACAAACCATTCGATGGCCATCTCATATTCAATTGTATTGCTCTGAGAGTGGTGGGATGTCGACAGTGCCATTCTCTTTTGGTCAAAAAGACAATAACATGAGTACAATTTTTTTTTTTTTGAAAAAGAATTTTAATCGCTCAACTATAATGGCATTTCTCTTTTAGGTACTAAACTTTCAATTTGGCCAAATTTAATACAAACTTAAGGGTCGAAAAGAAATGGAAAATGACACGGCCAATCAAGGGCATATAACACTTTTTTCACAACCTTTGCCCTAATCTCCCCAGTTTCACAAGCTTTTTTCACAACATGGTCAACTTTTAATCGTTGCAAACTACACATGGCCAAATTGAAACTCGAGCACCCAATACGAAATTACAACTATAGTTGAGTGGCTAATGGTCGAACTAATTCTTAGAAAAATTAACACATATACATGCATAAGTGCATAACACGACTTTCAAAGAAGAATGCGTACCATCTCTGGCCGTTGCCTTTGAGGCCTTGTTTTGCCAATTGTAAGGTGGCCAACAAAAACACTTGGATTACTTGGCTTCTTATGAACTCCAGTTTGAGCAATTAATGGCCTGTGCAAATGGAACAAACAAATTACGTTTATGGAAAATACAATAGAAAAATATATATTGCTTTATCTTCGTAGGCGCTATATCATCTGTGTTTCGTATGGCTTGCAAACACAGAAAAAGTAGACGGAACAGTAACTTTTTGAACCGACAATGCTCAGGAAAATTAACCACTCAGCCAAAAAAGTAAAAAAAAACTTGTAAGGTAATTTAAATACCTTCCATCACCTAGCACAAGACACCTCGTCTTTAAGTCAGAAATAACAGATTCTGCAGCTTCCTTCGATTTGAATATGGCAAGAGCTTTCCCTGCTAGGGGAAATATTTGAACGATAAAATACCATTTTACGAGTGAAAAGTTGTCGCATAGTTCAAAAAATATATGGCTTGGTAGGCATTATTGATAAATACCAGAGTGCGGAGTAGAGAAGGTGCTGCGTTCTATCTTTGCGCTAACCTTCATCTTGAACACATGCCAAAGAATGTCCTGGGGAACAGTCACTGTCTATTACTCTTACGTTTCAAGAAAAATAAAAATGTAAAAAATTCCGAAACATACTGTACTGAGAGTTTGAGATGGGTAAGTTTTGATTTAAAATGTTAATATACATGATTGTGAGACGAGCAAATAACATGCCCAAAAAAATGTTGCGATCTCATTTTCCAATTCTCATGCATGAACGGTGAACCTGCATAGATAAATTGCAGACTGCAGAGTGCTTAGGCTATTCTGAATATACATTAGAAGGCGTACCTCCACATCTTTTGAATTGAATGAAGGATCGAGGTTCTCAAGTAAAACGAGTGTTCCATTTTCTTGAGCCATAGGCATTTTTATCTCCCAAGGCTGAAACGAAAACGAAAACGAATAACCAAATAAGCCTATTATTACAAGTATTCCCAGCCAATACTGACACTGTTACACAAAATCTCGACCAAGTATGCCTAGCCATATCCTAAAAGAAGATATTCTATTAGTATGAAGTGAGAAAGGCGACTTACTTGTTCCGTGAACCATTCGATTGAGTCCTGTAACCATAAAAGATAAAATATCAAGACAAAATCTCAGTTAAAAATTTGCATATAGCATACACATCTCACACCACTAATTTGGACAGGCTAAATCCAAACCATTTGGATTTATGAATATACTGTCCAAGGAAAAACTGCTAAAAACTACCAAGGAAAAAACCTAATAACTGTTACACAAGTAAAGCCGAGATTTATGAATATACTGTCCTAAGTTGTCTTGTAGAAAAGGGAAAATACATGCTAGAAGACTTCGAATAGGAAACAAGTTTCCATATGCCTACCTACCTAAATTCCTAAGACTGCCTAATCTAGAGATTCCATATATTAAATATATTCCACAACAATAACAAAGATGAAAAAAAAAAAAAAAAAAACTCACTAAAATCCAAATAGCATCACAAACTCGTCATCTGAACTATTAGAGCAAAATAAGAGAATATAAAAGTAGTTAATAGAACAAATGGAAAACGGATATCAAATAGCCCGAGGAACCAAAATGTTTGCTTTCAAGATGATTCCATAAACGACTCTGTTTCCAAAAAATCAATGCTACAAGATTCGTTCACACATATTTCATAGTTTACAGCAGTGTTGATCTTACAATTTTTTTTCTTTTTCTCGATTAATTACCTCATCTGGTCTTCTTGCAACTCCTGTCGTTTGAGAATTAGTTATCACGCCCTTCTTCTTTTCCGTATGATCAGCTCTTGCAGCAAACTTACTGACTTTGCGGTCCAAATTCACTCCCATTCCAACTGAATCTTTTCCTTGGCTAGTTTTTGGTCGAGACGAAGGTCCTGCAGCTTCATGATTTTAGCGATCCATTCAATGTCCAAGTCATTTTTACAAGTTCAACATCAAGTTTAAGTCGAGAGGCACCTGAATGCTTTTCAACCTTCATTTTCTTTGGTGAGGAAGTATCAAGGGCACTTTCACGCTTCTTCTTCTTTAGCGGGGAAATACTTTCAATCTTCCTCATACTTAGCGGGGATTTATCAGATACACCTGAATGCTTTTCAACCTTCATCTTCTTTGGTAAGGAAGTATCAAGGGCACTTTCACGCTTCTTCTTCTTTAGCAGGGAAATATTTTCAATCTTCCTCATACTTAGCGGGGATGTATCAGATGCACCTGAATCTTTCCTTTGATTAAAGTAGTTCTTCACTGCAGCCATTGAAGTAATTATGAAAGAAGTTAAACTCTAAAATTATTGTATCCTCTCAACTTAAAAGTATTGTAAGGTAATTAGGACGATACTAACCTTCAACTTCTGCAATAACATCTGGAAAGATCTTTGATATTCTGCAAGTTTTAACATCAAATGCACGGAAGAAAACATATTTGGCTTTTCTTGACTCTTCTTTTGTTGGCTGAGGATTTCTCCTGTCTTTTGATATGCAGATTACAGAGCATTTTCCACATATGTTTTCCTAAAAAGAGACATATAATTCACTACGCCAAAAGCTATAGCTAGAGGAAACTACTGGAAATTTGCACAAAAGGGAAATGATAAATGTGAAGTTGCTGGGGAAAACTACATTACCAACAGATTCAAACTGAAAACCCCTTTCCCCTCTCCAGAAGCCAAGAACAACTCATTTGGGAGAATTCTGATGTCGCCTAACAAGTTTTGTACCTCGGCTGGTCTGAAAAACCAGACAACCTTAACTTTCTTAATGCCAGTCGCGGTTTCAAACATCTTTACGAGCTTGCCAATGCCAGGCTCAGGCTCATCATCGCACCGCCGCATATACACGCAGTCATAGAGAGAATAGTGAACGCCATTGTAGGTGAATGACAAGTAATACTGAACTCCCGTTTTGCGACCCCAATTAAACTGAAGTTCACCTTCATTATTATCTCCTCCTCCTTTCTCATTTACTTCTTGAGGGAGCAACATATTCAAGCCCTTTAGAAACCAATCGAAGAAAATATAATTACATAAAAACCATAATCTAACTCTGGAATCGCAAATTCACTTAAACTCCGCGAACAAACAATGAAGTTTACAGCGTAATATATATCAATTGATTGAACATAAACAACGACGAACCGGAAATTTTCCTGTTCGTAAAACCGGTTTCGGAGTCGGTGTACAGTAACATTGCCCAAAATGTAGCCATAGTGAGAGAGAGATGAAAAGAAAAACGCAGTGAACTCCGGCCGGAAGAAGGAGACATGAAAGGGGAGAGAGAAACAGAAACCTTACCGTCGGCTCGTTGTGACGGTGCTTTCTGTAGAGCTCAGGCGTCTCCTACTCTCCGGAAACAACTTTAAGATGAAGAGAAGCAGAGATGAGGGAAGAAGCAGAGAAGAGCAGAGACTCCGACACGCCGGAATGGGAGTAACTCTGATCGGACACTCCGGACTTCACGAAACGCGTAATGTCCGAGAGAACGACACCTGTTTTGTCATTTTCTTCCCCCATTATTTTTTTTTTATAAAATAAAATAAAATAAAAAGTCAAAATTTAAATATTTTTTAAATTTATATAAAGTATAAATTTATTTTTTTAAACAGAAAAATGTGTCCATATAAATAATCCATTAAAAATGTTTCAGCTTCTTTTGGTTGAAACATTCCGGCCTAAAAATTACCTTTCACAACCACAAGAGCACAATCACCTTCCACAAACAACAAGAGCACATTCATAATCTCTTTTAAGACTTAGCCAAAAATCTCCAAGTCTGATGTTCTGCGTAATAGAAGTGTCTACAATCCAATGATAGAATTAGTCACTGTGTCTGATGATAAAAACCTTGAGTTATACCCAAAAGTTTTTAAGAATTTATTTTCTTCTTTTCAGTTTGACAATGCTACTTTGTCTGCTGCAGTTTGAGCTTTAAACAAATCAAGCTCATACTGTTTTTAGAGTAACTCTTAATTGTGTTCGAACATTCTTTTGTACTATGCAATTTGTTATTTCATGGCGGCAATAAAATTAATAATAAAAAATATTATTTACATCACAAATTATAATTTATATTCAACTAATTAAGTTCTAACTAAATTGTATTAAACTAATTAAATTCAAACTAATAATTAAAAAATCAAATTATTTGTGCAGAAATGTGATATTTTGCTATAATGAGTTAGAGATGAATAAAATTATGTGTGAAAGTATACTAAAAATATTCATTTTATGAGATATGTGGGTTGGAGATGCTCTTGTTGGGTATTCGTTGGTAAAACTGAATAATAATCCCACAATAATAAGAATTATTATTTTTTGTAGAGAAGGGGAATGAAAGATGAAGAGATTGACTCGTGTTTGGTGTTGGATTTTTAACAAGAGTCAAACAATCACTCTTTCCTTAAAACCTTATTTGCTACCTCCCACAAGTGCTAGGAGCGTTGTAGCCTAGGCTTCCCAGTATAAAACTTGCTACGATTCAATGTTTGAGCACTCAAATAAGGAATCCGGTGAACTAGAGCAACGAGATAAACACAATTAGGCTAAGAATTGAGTAGAAGCAAAGAGTTTTTGAGGCTGGAAAAAACGATTTTCTATGTTGTAAAAATCTGCTGCTCTACCCTCTCTTATATAGGGGTGATGGAATTCAATAACATTCAAAAATGACATTAAAACACACATGTTCGGCTGTACCCGCGCAAACGAGATTAGGCTTAAGCCAAACCTTTTTGATGTCACTTTGCGATTTGATTTGCACTCCGCCCCTGCGTGCGAGAGAAAGTCTTTATGCTATACAATTCAATAAGTTTAAAAAGAGCTCTTGTATAAATAGTGAGACAAAAGCTCACTTTTTCCTTTCATTTTTCCAACTCAAATGAGTCTACTTTGAGAATCAATATCTCATTCACCCATTATCCGTTTCGAGCATACAATATATCAATCTCTTCGTCTCACTACGAAAAATCTGACTCCACTTTAATTCGACCCAAATCAAAAATGAACTCCACTAATAATTGTACCACAAAATTATCATTTAACATATCATTTTAAACTATTCTTTCCAACAGCTCTTGCTTCTTAGGCAAAAACACACTTATCTTTTAACTTTCAATGTTCTACTAATTTCTTAACTTTAAAGTGGTCCTTACGGTCAGCATTATCATCGTCAAAATTAGTATGAATTAGACGTTTTTGTTAGGTGTTCACATCAATTGTTCATTCACTATAATTCTACAACGGTGAATGGTCACACATGTCGTCATTGTCTTTCCCTTATTTTAAAATATAAATGAAATTGACTTTAATATACGATATACAAACCAAATTTATATTAAGACATGGAGTACTATGACTAAAAAAATTATTCAAACCATTATTCAATCTAATTTGGCCAAAATTCTGAATTCCCAGGCCAGGCTAAAGTTCATCACACACAATCCCAATAAGAAATTGATTACTGTTATCTTTAATGTAAGTGTACATAGATTTAGAATACTGAATGGGAAATTTATTACACACATTAATTAGAAAATGAAAACTACAAATTTTGCCCGAACAGACATAAGTAGCCGTTCTGAATAGTCAGTACAGCATAGAAAAATAATAACTGAAGCTATAAATGCTACAATATAAGATGCTATAAAACTCCACACAAATGTATCTTTGAATGGGTCATTCTCTTCTATAATTGGCTCTGAAGATGAAGATGGTTCAATGCTAGAGCTGCTGTTGCAGCTTTCTCCCAACAGTTGTCTACAAAGTAAAGGGTTACCTTCATAACTGTTGTTGTCGAATGTTAAGAATTGATTCTTGTCTGGTATTCTCCCTGATAAATTGTTGAATGCCACAGAAAATATTGACAGAAAGTGCAATTCTATCAAGTCTTGAGGAATTTGGCCATTCAATCTATTGTGAGACAAGTCCAAACATTCTATCTGCTTTAAGTTGGAGAATGTAGTTGGGATAGAGCCTATGAAGTGATTGTGTGATAAGTTCAAAGTGTGGATATCACTCAAGTACCCGATCTCATGAGGAATTGGACCCGTAAAATTGTTGAAAGAAAGATCAAGTCCAGACATGTACTTCAATACGTTTCCTTTGTATAATTCAGACCTACTTTTTGTTACAAATTCCACTTCTTCTTCCTCAACTGGAACGTCATAATCGTACTCCAAGGATTGGCCTATTTGAAGTTGGCTTTCATACGAGTATGTACTAATAAGAGGATATCCAGGAAACCATTCGTATATATTAAGCCCAACCATGACATCAAATGTTGGTTTGCTCCCAAACAGTACTTTATGCAGGCAAGAAGGCAAAAAGGAAGAAAGATTATTTGAGGAAAGATCAAGCATGCTAACATTCTTAAGGTCACAGAGTTGAGAAGGGATTGAACCTTCCAGTTGATTTCCTCCTAGGAGAAGAAACCTCAAATTTGAGAGTGAACTTATCCAATTAGGAATACTGCCAAATAAGTTATTGTTTCTCATGTCTAGTGTCACAAGTGCAGAAGCTTCAGACAAAAGTTTTGGCACGAATCCAGTAAATTCATTGCCATGCAAATGCAAGTATCTTAGTGATAAGACATTCAAACAAGCAGGTATAGTCTTCGTAAATTTATTCTTAGACAAGTCTAAAAAGCCCAATTCCTTCACCTTGCAAAAGCTCATTGGTATAGGACCTTGTAGAAAATTATGAGACAAAACTATTGCCTTGAGGTTTGAAAGGTATCCAATCCAGTTAGGAATCTTGCCTGTGATTGAGTTGTTGCTCAAATCTAATACTAACAAAGATTTGCTATTTAGTAGGCCACGAGAGAGCTCACCCGTAAAGCGGTTGTTTGTCAAACCCAAATACTCAAGGCTACTCATGTTTGAATTTGCAGGAAGAACTCTACCTTGCAAATTGTTGTTTTCTAACTTCAAAATCTGCAAACTGATACATCCCTTGACAAATTCGTGTGGCAGTTCTCCTGAAAAATTGTTGTTTGACAAGTCAAGCGAAATCAAATCTGTCAATTCCCCCATAGAGGGAGGAATACCACCTTGTATTGTATTCATAGACATGTTCAAAACGGTGAGACTTGGACATGAAACACCTATAGAGTGTGGAAGTACCCCTTGGATTTGATTCATAGAAACATCTAACATCCTGAGGTATTCATTCTTTGTTTGATGGTTGTTGTATGTAAAAGATCCTGTTAAGAGGTTGCCAGCAAGGTTGAGAACTTTCATATTTGAGTTATTGATGAGCAACCAGGATGGTAATATTTCTCTCACCCCAGTATGGCTAAGGTCAAGGACAAGCAACTCACGTTGCTTTAACAGGAAACTAGGTAGATTCTCGCTAGGCTCATTGAGTTTACAGTTTAGTAATCGAAATATTTTGATCTGAGATTGAGGCATCCAAGGTGGGTTTTCTGTATTTACCATCATGGTGTTGTTAAAGTTTTCAAGTTCAAAACCCTCAAGTTTGGAATTGTTCCCAAATGAGTTGAACGAGAAAGAACCTTCAAAGTAGTTGAAGGAAAGGGAGAGATATTCAAGTAAATTCAGAGTAGAAAAAATGGCCGAAGGAAGTGTTCCAGTGAAGTAATTTGATTGAAGATCAAGGGTACGAAGGGATGTCAAATTGCCAATACATGAAGGTATTCTTCCTTCAAATGTATTGAATCCCAAACCCAACTCTTGAAGGTTTCTCAATTTGCAGAAGCCTGCAAAGTTACAAGTAAGAGTTAATAAGAAAATACTGAAATAGAATTTTAATTCCATCATCAATAAAAATATATATTTCTTATATGTTTTATTTATATAAGTTTGGAATAAGGGTCAAATAGGTCATCCAATTACACACAATAATTCAATTAGGCCACTGAACTTAAAAAATCAACAATTGAATTCCTAAACTAACCAATTTCAAACAATTCTTTCAATTTGAAGGTTTTCAACAGGTCAACAGGTCATCATTCTAAATTAATTATTTTTTAAAAAAGAACTTTTTAAAATTAATTATCTAATTTTTTTTTTTAAAAAAAAAACAGGACTGGCCGGAGACGACTGTCCCCGGCCGGTTTATTCGTCTCCGACCATGGAGACGAAGAGTTTCTTCTTCTCCATGGCTGGAGACAGAGAAACTCTTCGTCTCCATGGCCGGAGACGACAGAGTCTTTTTTTTTTTTTAATTTAAAAATAATTATTTTTTAAAAATAATTAATTTGAGAGGATGACCGGTTCGAAATCTTGAAACTGAAAGAATTGTTTGAAATTAGTTAGTTTAGGGATTTAATTGTTAATTTTTTAGGTTCAGTGACTTAATTGCATTATTTAGTGCAGTTTGATGACATATTTGACCCTTATTCCTTTAGAGCTTGGGAACTGAAATGGAAAGGCAAATCAAGTTGGGATGCATACATGGTTTCAATAAGAAAGGAAATCCACAACTAACACCGTACAAATACATACTAAAAATAATAAAATACCTCCATCTATCAATGAGCCATTTAGATTATTGTATTCGAATGACAAAAACTTTAAAGCGGTGAAGGATCCAAGGGCATTGGGAACTTTTCCGCTCAGATAATTGAAAGCAAAATTGAGCAACTCCAGATGTTTCAAAGTTGTTAGCTCTACAGAAAAGGTAGATTATTGTGTTATGCCCGCAACAATATTAAGAAAGTTAGACGACAATCAAAACAAATTGAATCAATTCTAATATTTGACGCACCTTCAAAGTGAGACCAAGTATTGATCGAGTTGTCTCCCATATTAAGGATCCTAAGTGAGCGCAGTAAACCTAAACTTGGAATTTCATCAAACCAATTGAAACTTAAATCCAAAACCTGCAACTTGCTTAAGTTTAGTACCTCATGGAACCCTCGTATTTTGTTTGAATCTAAGCTCAGATTCTGTAGTTCCCGGAAGGGAAGAAATAGCGAAGCATTTAGGAAAAAATCATCAGAACTACTCCATAGCCTAATCCCCCTAAGGTAGAGTTGGGTGACATGGTGATTGGATTGGTCACACTTAACCCTTTCCCACATGCAGCAATCCGTTTCTTTTCCATCACCCCAAGAAGAAAGGGCAGTGGTTCCGTTAAAGGCATCTCTTAGTCTCAAAAGTGCTATTCTTTCTTCTTCATCACACCCAACACTTCCATCACCCTGCACCTCAACTACCACAAAGCTTAACATTAACCATAAACAAAACAAACAAGGATTAGCCATACAAATTAATTAAAGAAATAATAATGACAACTATTAGAAGATATATAATGGAATATTATATTTTATCTTAGTGGTAATGAAGGATATGTGTGTGTGTATATATATAGAGAGAGAGAGGGGGGAACGGATCAATTGAGAACACATGCCCAACAAAGAAATACGATTCATTGCAAATGTCCGTCTGGATAGATCTAACGAAAGAAACACTTTTTTAGAAAAAAAAATGTGGTGATATTTTTGTAAATAATTGAATTTTAGAGTGTAAGTAAATTGTGTTAAAAATGTAAATAATAATTTTATAGAGTGCACTTAAATGTAAGTAAAATGTATTAAAAGTGCATCAAATAATGTATATCCAGCAACTATATTAAGTACACTTAACATTATCATTACTTGTATCAAATGTTATCATTAAATGCACCAATGTAAAATTAAAATATAAATTACTTGCATTATTAAGTGTAAATGATTCCTACCCTTTTATCTATTATATTCACCAGCATCAGTCAACCAATATTCCTAGTAATTCTTATTAACAGTTAAAAAAGATTCACTACAGTGAATATGTTTGACCTACTCATCATCAAACAATTTCATCTTTGAAAGCCTAATCAATCAACACGTTTCACTACTTCAAACACTTTTATTTCTAATATGAAAAATAGCAACACTATATATATGTATTTTTTGCATTCAAAAAAAAAAAATATATGTATTTTTTAAATTTTATTTTTCATTATTTCTAAATATATTTTTATTGAATCACGAAAAGGTGATCGAATTGAACCAGAAATTCAAGAGTACGTAGCTATTATTCCATGCTTAATTTGTAAAGATTGTATGAAATTAAAATAGGAATAATTGGTCATGTTAGATAGATATTTGAAGGATCGGGTTCAATATCTTGTCATCAAAATTTGGAGTTGGCTGCTATGCAAGTATAAACAAAATAAATTTGCGTCTTTTTTACTAGTTATAGTTTCTGTCGTAGTGATAAACGTTTTATCCTATCTTGACAATTGGTAATTACTACACAAGTATAAGAAAATAAAGTTACACATCTTCTACTAGCTATATATTTTAACATAGTGATAAATGCTTAATTCTTACAGCTTATAATTTATAACTTTTCTTTTCAAACAAACCAAAACTGAAACTAAGAAATATTTGTTTTGGAATATCGAATTTGGTTCCAATTAGGACTTTAATTTAATTAATTTAATTTTCATTCAATTTTTTAAACGTTAGACTAATTTAAATTTGATGCACATATAGAAGAATCAAATATTCAGCCACTGCTTGTAAATAAAATAGCTAGCAAGCTTAGAAGTACCACTCTAACTAGTAAAGTAAATGAATTTTAATTTAAAGTTGGAATCAGCTTACAAACTGTTTTAAACTATTGGAATGAATTTTCGCTACTTTCATTTGTCCACCTCAAAGAAAAATCAAAGAAAGAGACACAATTGGAATGAATTTCCAGCTTAATTTCCGCTAGTTTCATTTGTCCACTTCAAAGAAAAATCAAAGAAAGAGACACAATTGGAATGAATTTCCAGCTTTCCACTACTTTCATTTGTCAACCTCAAAGAAAAATCAAAGAAATTAAAGAGAAACATGACAGTTTTGAATTTTCCAACTTCTCTATGAGAAAAATACTTCTGAGAGCACTACTGGAAATTTTGAAATTTCCGACCACCTGAAAGTGATCTTAAATCAAGTCAAAAGCCTTGTTCCGACCACTTTTGGTGTCCGAAAAAACCTTTGTTGCTATTTCCGACCACTTTTTGGTATCAATTTGATTTAAGATCACTTTCAGGTGGTCGGAAATTTCATAATTTCCAGTAGTGGAGTTGTGGCAAACCTTAAGTCTATTTATAAAAATCTACAAGACTTGAGGTGGTTCTATAACAAAAAAAGAAAAAAAAAGGGGGGGGGGGGGGGGTGGAGGTTTGAGGTTAATAACGTCATTTAAACATATTTGTTGATTAATGACCAAATTAAAATGGTCATGTCACAAAAATATTAGGACCAAAATGGATGTTTTGAAAAAAAAATACTAAAAATGAAATGATATATAAATTTAGAACTAAAAAAAGAATTTAAAAAAATGACTTTAACACTCAGAACTAAATAGACTAAAGACCCTTGTATTTAAGATCATTTAAATAGTTTGGTTGACAAATGACTAAAAATGGTCATACCAAAATAATACTACGATCAAAAAAATATTTTAAAAAAATAACTAAAAATTAACTGACACTTATAAATTTAAACATATAATGGAATTATCTCTTATAAAAAAAATATTGTAAATTTCATTATTTTATACAAAAAAATTATCTAATAATAACACTAAACGAGTAAACCACGTAAACATTGAACTCAACAAGAGTCACAATCATACTGTTGGAAAAAACTAGCTATGATGTGGATCGGAGTGTGGGGCAACAAATTAATTTGTCCGTCGTTGAAGATCATTAATATTATTAGACTTGACTGAGTCAATCAGTCAATCAATCGACATATTTGACTAGTTCCAACAGCTTAATTATATTTTACAAAAAATACTATATGTACTCCCAAAATCATACTCAGCTTCCAATTTATATTCTTACTTATGTTCAAATTTGATTGGAGGAAGAAAGAAAAAGAATAGATAAACATCATATGGCCCCTTACTAAATTAAGCAATCAAGGCATGTCATATTATAGGAGTGCAAAATGAGAGTATAATTTGGGAGGCATTAATTGTTATGTAAGTATAAACAAAATAAAATTGTACATTCTCTATTAGCTATATATAATTTTTGCCATAGTGATATCCTAATAATTGGTAACTAGTATACAAGTATAAGAAAATCAAGTTATGTATTCGCTACTAGCTCACTACAAAACATAACTACTACTATACGATGGTTTTTGCAGGTCTTTCCTTAAGTACTAATATAATATCCGGTCTTGTAATAATATTCTAGTTATTAATATTATTAGTATGGAGAATCGTTGTGTGTTTTGTTTGTGGATATTATTGTTAATCTCTGTGGTAGTTATTGAGGTGCAGGGGTGTGATGAAGAAGAAAGAATAGCACTTTTGAGACTAAGAGATGCCTTTAACGGAACCACTGCCCTTTCTTCTTGGGGTGATGGAAAAGAAAAGGATTGCTGCAAGTGGGAAAGAGTCAAGTGTGACCAATCCAATCACCATGTCACACAACTCTCCCTTGGGGATATTAGGCTATGGAGTTTTGATGGTTTTTTCCTAAATGCTTCGCTATTTCTTCCCTTCCAGGAACTACAGAATCTGAGCTTAGATAGTAACACCATACGAGGATTCCATGAGGTACTAAACTTAAGCAAGTTGCAGGTTTTGGATTTAAGTTACAATTGGTTTGATGAAATTCCAAGTTTAGGTTTACTGCGCTCACTTAGGATCCTTAATATGAAACAAAACGACATCAATACTTGGTCTCACTTTGAAGGTGCGTCAAATAATTAACTTGTAACTGTGTAGGCTTGTGCAAGTTGAGGAAGCTTGAAGTGTTGGATTTGAGTGAAAATGGGTTTCAAGGAAAAATACCTTCCTGTCTTGGAAATTTGACATTTCTTCGTGCCCTTGTTCTTAACTCAAATTACTTGACTGGAACACTTCCTTCTACTGTTTTTTCTACTCTGAATTCACTCGAATATCTCTCCCTTTCTCTCAATTACTTTGAAGGTTATTTCTCGTTCAACTCATTCGAGAACAATTCCAAACTTGAGGTCTTTGAACTTGACAACCTTCATAGTAACTTGACAGTAGACACAGAAAATCCACCTTGGATGCCTCAACCTCAGATCAAAATATTTCGATTATCAAACTGTAAACTCAATGAACGTGCAGGATGGAATCTACCGAGTTTCCTATCAACGCAACGTGAGTTGAGAATCCTTAACCTTAGCCATACAGGGGTGAGAGAAATATTTCCTTCTTGGTTGCTCATCAATAACTCAAATATGGAATTTCTCAGCCTTGCGGGCAATTTCCTAACAGGACCTTTTACATACAACAACCATCAAACGAAGAATGAATCTCAGTTGGTTAGATGTTTCTATGAATCAAATCCAGGGGGTACTTCCATATTCTATTGGTGTTTTTTTTCCAAGTCTGTCTTATTTGAACATGTCTACAAATGCAATACAAGGTGGTATCCCTCCCTCTATGGGGGAATTGAAACAACTAAGATTGTTAGATTTGTCAAACAACAATTTGACAGGAGAATTGCCGGGAGATTTTGTCCAAGGATGTACTGATTTGCAAATTTTGAAGATAGCAAATAACAATTTGCATGGTCAAGTTCTTCCTACACATTCAAACCTAAGTGGCCTTTGGTATTTACATTTGGCAAACAACCGTTTTTCGGGTGAGCTCTCTCGTGGCCTACTAAATAGGATGTCTTTGGAATTCTTAGATTTGAGCAACAACTCAATCACAGGCAAGATTCCTGACTGGATTGGATACCTTTCAAACCTCGAGTCAATAGTTTTATCTGATAATTTTCTACAAGGTCCTATACCAATGAGCTTTTGCAAAGTGAAGGAATTGGGCTTTATAGACTTGTCTAGAAATAGACTTACTGAGTCTATACCTACTTGTTTGAATGTCGCATCACTGAGATACTTGCAATTGCATGATAATGAATTTACTGGATTTGTGCCAAAAGTTTTGTCTGAAGCTTCCTCACTTGTGACACTAGACATGAGAGACAATAACTTATCTGGCAGACTTCCTAGTTGGATAAGTTCACTCTCAAATTTAAGGTTTCTTCTCCTTGGTGGAAATCAACTTGAAGGTTA